CAAACATATCACATTTTTAAGATACGTGAATTTAATATTAAAATTCTAGATAATGGACATACCACATTTTCAAGATTTAATCATTAGTAAAAATAAAAATAATATTTATATAAATTATTTGAGTACATATGAATCACTATATTGATTAAAAAATTGTGGGTAATGTAATTTTTATAATTTGGAGAGATCATTGTCAACTAATTTACTTGAAAACTTTATTATTATTATTATAATTATTATTATTATTACTACTCTTATTATAACGACAATTGTTTATAAGATTTTAAAGTTTTTTTTACTATATTATTAAAAATATTTACTAATTGTTTCTAAAGATAATTGTTTCATAAAATATAAAATTAAAATAATAATAATAATATCATTCATAAAACCTAATTAAGTGTAATCATGTATTTATAAAACCTAATTAATAACACCTCATTTATTTTCCCTCCAAAAGAAGTTACAAAATTTGACATTCATATTTTGCCTTTCACATTAATATTAATACACCCTATTAAGTGTAATCATGTATTTTTTTGCTATTTATTGTTATAATAGTTAATGCTATTACCAACTCATAATATTTCACACTAAATATAAATTACATAAGTATAAACAATTTTATTGTTTCAAGATATTATTATTGTTATTATTGTTGTTGTTGTTATTATTATTATTATTATTATTATTATTATTATTATTATTATTATTATTATAGTAGGTAATGCTATTTTTTTTTGCTATTATATTATATAATAATTAATTCTATTAATTTTCTTACATGATTACACTTAAAAGGGTGTATTAATGTGAAAGGAAAAATATGAATGACAACTTTTGTAACTTCTTTTGGAGGGAAAATAAATGAGGTTTTATTAATTAGGTTTTATTTATGAGGTTTTATTTAATGATTAGCTAACAATTAAACATATATAGATATATATAATAATAATAGTAGTAGTAGTAGTAGTAGTAGTAGTAGTAGTAGTAGTAGTAGTAGTAGTAATAATAATAATAATAATAATAATAATAATAATAATAATAATAATAATAATAATAATAATAATAATAATAGAAGATTGTAACATAAAAAGATGGTAAACATAATCAATATTATTAAATTTATTATCTGTAATTAAATATAAAGAGAGAGATATAAATGATAAAGTTTGTAACGGTTTTTGGAGGGAAATCGAAATGATGTTTTATTAAATATTTTATTAAATTCTATTAACCAACAATTATATTTATAGATATAGAGATAGATTACTATTATTATTATTATTATTATTATTATTATTATTATTATTATTATTGTTATTATTATTATTATTATTATTATTATTATTGAAAAATAATTGTTTATGAGACTCAAAAGTTGTTTGACTGTGCCATTAAAACAATTTACTAATTGTTTTTTTTTTAAAAAATCATGATATACTAAAGAAAAAGATAATAATGATGTTAAAATAAATAATATAATTATGTAACTTTAAACAATTGTTTATAATTATATAATTTATATTTATTGTGAATTATTATTAGTTGGTATTAGCAATAATTATTATATAATAAATAGAAACATACATGATTATAATCAATAGGGTGTATTAAATGAGAAGTAAAAAAATATTAATGATAAATTTTGTAACCGAAAATGGAGGAAAAATTTTAGAGGTTTTATTAAATAGGTTTTATTAAATGCTACATGCCAACAATTATATATATATAGATTAAAAGCTTGAAAATACAAAATTCTAAGTTGAATAATACAATATTTATTGGTCAATTTCTATTATATTATTTTAATTTTCGATATCTAACATTTTTTTTGGTACAGAGAAAGAGGCGAAAACCACTAGGCTAACACTCTACAGGGGGTATGACACCCCTATATTATCGTGATCAATCCACTGTGCGGTTTTTTTTCATTTTTTTCACCCAAAAGTCGCGGAAATTACTTTTTTACCCCTAAATTATTTATAAGAATGATATTTGAAACTTTCAAAGCATGAAATCAAAGAAGGAAAGTAATATAATTAAAATAAAATAAAAATCAAATTAAATAAAATTAAATGTGAAATTCGAAAATAATAAATAAATATATTACTATTTAATAAAAAATAAAACGATAATTTCATTTAAATAAATTAAAATATAAATATAAATTTAAAATAAATGTGAATATATAATTTAAATATATGTTTTTTAATTGAAATAATGTAACATATATAAATAATATTTACTTAATTATTATATTATTTATATTTATAATATATTTATTCAATTATTATTATTTATAATATATAACATATTTACTCCATTATTATAAAATATATATACTGCATTATTATATTACTTATAATTTATATTTATCAATATATTATTTATAACATATAATATATTTATTCAATCATTATATTATTAAAAATATAGAATATATTTACTTAATTATTATATTACTTATAAGTTAGAATATATTTACTTAATTATTATATATTTATATTTTATAATCAATTTATTCATTTATAATAAAATATACATACTTAATTATTATATTATTTATAATTTATTATCATTATAGTTTAGAATATAATTTATTCAATTATTATATTATTTATAATATAAAATCTATTTATTCAATCATTTATTATTTATAATTTAGAATATATTCTTATAATTTAGAATGTATATATATATTTATAATTTAAAATATATATGTATATTTTATTATTAATTTCTCTATACGTTATATATATATATAATATAATATGATATAGCCATACTGTCGTATAACGGTGCAATACCATCGCGGTTCAGACTACCGAGTCGACTTACGCGAAGTCGACTTTGTCCGCAGATTCTTTATGGTATCTCCGGTCAAGGGTCCAGGCATTTCTCCCAGTCGACTTCCACATGTCGACTAGCATAAGTGGATTTCCTCTTGGACGGTCAAACGCGTGAGGATCTACTAACAATTGAATATGGCCCAGTCGACTCGAGTTGATATCCCGAGTCGACTGAGGAAGTCTTGAAGCTCATAAGATCTCGACGACTCCAGTGCACTTCAACATATCGAAGGACAGTTGTTAAGGATAAGAAGGAAGCTACCAAAGATAAGGAAGAATCTAGATGCTGACTAGGAAGTGGACGAAATGCGAACCGACCAGGGTATTTTGGACATTTCCAGTAAGTCGGCCAGGGCATTTTGGGGACTTCAGGTAAATGTTTTAATTCTATATAAAAGAGCTGAGGTAACTCCAAAACCCTAACTCCCATTCATTCCACATTCTTCTCCATTGCTGCTGCTTCCTCAGAGCAGCTCTTTTCACTCTTTTCACATACTGACTTGAGCGTCGGAGGCTCTACGCCGGAAATCCCTCCGGCGTTGAGTTCTTGCAGGTGTTCTCGCGGTTCGATAGCAATTTGGAGACCATCAAGACAAATCTGAGCTCGTTCTCATCGGTTCATTCCAGATCCGGGCGATTTTCCACCGGTTCACCCCAGATCCGAGAATAGACCCATCATAATAATATATATATAACGATTATTATATATTATATAATATTATATAATATTATATAACCGTTATATAATATTATATAATATTATATAATATATAATAACCGTTATATATATATATATATATTATATTATTTTCTTTATACGTTATATATATATATATGTATATACATATACATACATATATTATATATAATCACATTTTCATATAAATAAGTTATAAGTATATTATTATTTCTTTATATATAATTTAGAGAATATATATTATTTGACAGTAATGGCATAATGGTAAATTCAGTGATAAAGTAATGGTATAATGGTAAATTCATGATAAAGTAAGGGTATAATGGCATAATGGTAAATTCAGTTATAAAGTAAGGGTAAAATGGTAAATTCGACGAAAAAGTAACGTCAGTATTAAAGTAACGGTGTTAACAGCAAATGGCGAGTATGCACACATATATTAATTACAAGGGGGTTTGACGCAATTTTTGAAATATAGGGGATAACGCGCAGATTTCATATAATACATGGGATTTGGTGCAACAAACCCCAGTATACAGACCAAAACGCAACGCATTATGCTATACGCGTTTTAAAACACTGGTTGTAAGTACGGGGCAGGTCTGGGTAGCCAACTACTCGGCTCGACCTGCCGCATTGCCATCCGTAATTACGACCGAAGGCACACAACGCATACACATATAACTTATAAAATTTTATTTGTATATATTGCATGTACACTTAATTATCTATTAGTTTATCGTTAAAAATATATAGCTTATCTATTAATGTCCTTAATTACCAACAAAGGGTTGACAAAGTGGTCAGTAACTTGATGTCGCTTAAACAAGGTCTCGACCTCGAGTCCTTTTGTATGCAGACTGACCCACCACTGTCAGGTGTACGATCCGGATCAACAAACGAATTAGTCAGAGCAAAGCTCTGGATCAGTTTTGCTATGGAGCAATCAGATGACTCGACTTATGAAGTCATCCACATTTATTTATAAATAATGTGTTGGCTATCAAAAAAAGAAAAAATTAATGTCCATATTTAAAGGAAAAACAATAAAATTATATCATGCAAAAGGAGTTGACGATTACGACCGTGGGCACACCCACCACTCACACACATATATTAACCCAAATTTTATAAGTTTGTACCAAAGTGACCACATCACTGTTCACTCAATTGCAAACATAAAAGTGGCCAAAAGGGATCGAAATTTGACTCATTCCAATGAGTAAAAGGAATTTGATTGGACAACAAATCCATATTTTCCAAAGCTTTAGCGCGTCTCAGTTCTTTTCAAGAATCTTTTATCACCAGATTTTCTAATTTTACTCGGAAGTCACTTCCTTTTCCTTACAATATATTTAGAAGCCCTTTAGTAACCAAAATTAGAATTTAGAATCAAATAC